CTTTAAATGTGTGACTGTATCCTAGAATTTCGAATTCCTATCAAAATTGTAAAGGATAGGGAAAATCATTAAAAAAAAACCCCTCAACTTCATAGTAAAATATGATGAAGTCCCAAATGAAAGGCGTAAGTACAGTGAGATGCAAGAACAGGAAAGTTCCTTAGTATGCCAATAATTAGAGATGCGCTTTTTATCTGCGGGTACAGGCCACCGTAGGTATTCAGCCGAATAGAAATGAGGGTCGGCATGGGTATTTATATTGTCCCACAAAATGGGGACCCGCCCCTGCCTCAATATATATATATATTTTTTAAAAAATATTTCTAACATAAATGTATATTATTTATTACAATAGTACTCAAAAAAATAATGGATTAAAAAGTTTAAAAGTATTTCATTATTTTACCATCTTAAAAAATCCTAATGATTTTTAAATTCTTATTCTAAATAGTAACTTTATTTAACCTAAGTCTTAACCTTTACTCTTCTTATCTTTTTAATGTTTTACTTTAAAGAATTTAATTTATTATTTAGATCTTGAATTGAATTTTTAGACTTTTATTTCGTGTGATTTTAAAATTTGATTAGTTATTTTTACAGTTGGGATTTCCTTTTGAAACATTGGTTTGTTTTCACGAGATACTAATGTTATGGTAGATTTTATATTTAATTTGATGCAATTTATTTAAGTGTTAACAATATGACATTTTTTTTTTCTTAATGGGTAAATGGGTAAGTATAGGGAAAACTTTTTCGACAAGGACTCCCTGACCCAAACCCTAACGCCTAGTAAGGCGGTTACGGGGGACAAAAGTGAAACCAGGAGAGGGGATGTGGGGGAAGCATGTCAAAAGTGAAAGCGGGAGCGGGGACGTGGGGGAAGCATACCTAACCCTAATTTGTTCGATAATGATCCCTACCAATAATTAAGCATGTATAAAACTTATTTTGACAAGACCTTTACGTTTAATGGAGTCCTCCAATCAATTGAGAGAAAGTATTTGAAGCACTAAGAAAATAGATCTAGCGGACCACAAGTAAACTAGTAAGGTGAGGAGACCGCCTTCGTTATTACTAACTCAAAACAAAAATAAAACTACAAAACACAAATAAAAACTACAAAATCGAGAATCTACAACGTGGAAACATGATCATAATTTGTGATAACTCTATAAAATAGAGTTATTTTCTCTTTTATTTGCTTTTAAACGGATTTTGTTCGTAAGATTTTTTATTGTTTTATTTGATTTTTAATTTAGTTTCATTTATTTTTAGTTTTATTTTATTTTATTTGGTTGTATTTAGTTTTTCTCTTTAATAATTTTATTAATCTTCATTTGTGTCTAAATTTGGTGGAAAGGATTATTTGGAGCTTATTTGGAATTAAATAGAAGTGAAAAGGGCAAGAGAATCCGGAGTAAGAGCATCCTCACGTTGCTTCACATTTCTCCTCCCCTATCAACTCTCGCCACAGGGCCAGTCCTAACTCCGGCCAACTGTACCGCGCCACGTGTCCATCTTACGTCAGCCATCCCTAATTGCTTTACTCCTCTTATTATGTTGCTGACGTGAATCAAAGCCTCCAGCCGCAATAGAGAAGGGAACCCGCCGTGAGCATTCAACGATCATTCCAAAGCATGGTACCAAAATACTGAAAGCCCCATTGGAAGAACAGTATAGAAAAATTAGGGGAAATTATTTTGGGAATTTGGGGTATCTCTCTCATGACTGAAAAATTTATCAGAATTCTTATATAGGATAAAATTTTTTAGAATCTTTTATATTATTAATATGAAAACTTTTATAATAAGTATTTGTTGATATTAATATAGAATAACAAATTATAAGCTAAAGCTCAAAAATTTTTAAGGTGTGATGCAATTACCGATTTTTGAACTGTATTTAAGAAAGAGACACAGAACGCTGTCTTAAACCCACAAGTGGGCAAACACATGAATGTTAAGTTTAATAATTGAAAAACATCAATTCTAGGGTTTTAGACACAATCGGAGAGAAAAACGGACGAAAAAGGGGTTCGGAGGCGAGAAAATTGAGGTTTTCGACCGAATAGGGTTGACCAAGTCAAATTTTTTTGACCAAGAGTCGATTAATAAGTCACTCTTGAAAGGATAGTAAAGGTTGAACAAAGTTAACTTAGTTGACCAACTGTCTGAAAAACGCGGGTAAAACGCGCACTAGGTAGGAATTAAACTGAATCGAAATAATATAGTTATTAGAGATGGATGGTTGAGATTTAAAGTGAATAATTGGATGAAGGGTTGAGATTATGGCATGTGAAAAGCAAGGTGGCCGGCCAAGCTTAGTGAAGAAGGAAAGAAAGATATTTTTTAGCGAAATTTTGCAAAAAGGCCATTGGAAAGTGCCAAACTTGCATTTTAGTCCTCCCACTTTATTGAGTCCGGTTTTTAAGAGATAAAAATACAACCAAATGCTCATTTTTCATGCCAAGAACTAGAGAGCATCAACCAAAGAGAGGAGAAGAAGAAAAAAATCACCCAAAGTGAGAAAAACGAGTTTTAATCGAAATTGACGAGAGTACACCGCTAATTCGCATCACTAAGGACTTCTCTTCATTCTCTAAGGTAAATTTCGGTTTTCTTCTCACTTTTTTCTACCTTGGTTGCACGTTTAAGTATGAGGCCGAAAGCATGAAAAAAATTTACTTAAGATGATGATTAAGCTTGTGATTATTAAAGGCCTTGAAAATCTAGTGATTATAGGATGAATTCTTGATTATTGGATTTTGTTTCTAGTAATTTTTGGTTATGAAGAATTGTTGTGAAAATTCGGATGAAACCCTAAAATTGTGATGTTATTTATGATAAAATTGAATGAGAAAGAATGTGGTTTGTGTTTAAAGGTTGAAACAACAGATAAAGCAAGATATGGTTAGCACAGGAAACACGAAAAATTAGGCGGAACTCTACCAAAATTTAGTTTGAGACTTTGACTTAAAACCGGTTTTCATATGGAATAGAAGGATTAAGATGTGAAAAGTAAGCCGATTCAATGATCGGCGATGTATAGAAACCTAAAACGATGAACATTCTCAGTTTCAGACTAAAATTGAAAACTAGGCTAATGACCTGAAAATTGAATACGGTGCTGTTTTGGATTAGAGAACTAAGATAAAAACTTAGTTTCAAAAAGTGACTGCACAAAATTGAAGGAAATTCCGTTCCGAACAACTTTTATGAAATAACATTTTTCTCAAAAATGACCTAGACATCAGTTTCGGACTGATTTTTGAAATAGTCTAAAATGTGATTTAAGGTAAAACGTGCACAAGTTTGGTTCATATTGATGATATAGGTGATGTTTTGGTCCGGATACCGAATTTAAAATCGTAGATCTCTTTAAGGATTCTAGAAATGGCGTACGCACTTTAAGGAAATATCATTGACGAAACTACGAATTCGGATCAAATTGTGTTTTAATTATCTTGTTAGGATCGTATTTGTTGTGCTTATCTTTCTAGGATCTTCCTTCTGTTTCAAGTTTAAATTATTTTAGATAAGATTTGTTTATTTAGATTATGATAAGATTTGTAAACTCTTTTTATACTCTTTATCATCAATAGAAAAGCTGAGCCATATTTTTCAATCCTATTTCTTCTTTATCTGTATTCATAAGTTTCTTGCTTGGTATTCCTTTAAGAATTGCTGTTTTTTCTTCCTCTTTTTATGTTTTTATTTTTTTTATTTTTATTTTTTTGTGTGGCTAAGTAGGCTATAGATTTGCTACTGAACACGTTCGGCAACCCCAATTATTCTATTAAAAGACAATATTTCTGACGTACAGATTTTCAAGATCATTTTTAACTAAGAAAAAAAATTATGAAAATTTTCCCAAAGCCAAAAGATTCTCTTTTTTAAACACCTTGAGACTCCAAAAACCCCCCAACGAAGAGTAGTGGTGAAGTGAAACTTGATATATCAGAAAGAAAACCTCGCATCCATTTCTCTTATAGAAAGGGCAAATTAGATCTTGATCTTCAAACGGCTCTCGTGAAATCATATGCTCATAGGACTATGTGGATCATTTAGAGCTGCAATTGCAGTCTCTATTTTTATCTTCAAATTATCTTTTTCTTCTTCATCTGCCTGCAAGAAA